CTTTTTAGGCAGTACCTTGATCACAGTAGCTAAGTAGCTGTGCAGAAATCTTGGAATTGAGTCTTGATGAATGAACACTTCATCCTTCAGATGCTGACATTGAGGGTAATTGTATTTCTCTTACTAGAAAGGCAGGAAATAGAGAAGTTCTGGGGCTTGGGTCTGATTTGAAATTGTTTCTGTGTAATTAATAAATTATTTTGGAATGCCAAATAAAATATCTTTGTACAGATTTGATTCCCTGACCTGCATCAAATCTAGCATGTAGACAAAAGCAAAGGACAAAAGCATAGGTAGGAAAACCTGTGACTGGTGACTTATTTTCCTGTGAGAGTTGGGAAGGAAGTCACATTTGTTACCCAAGTTCCTGTCAGTATTTTTAAGGCTTTCTGTATTTATTATCTTTTTAGAATTGAATTGTATGCAGTGATGCCATTAACTGACTAAATGGTTATAACACGGTATCTCAGACATATACTGAGATAAAGCCTAACACATCTTCCTCACCAGCTGAAAGTGGTGTTATGTTTCTAAGATGTCAACAGCATTATCCAGTCGATCCATGTCATAGGAAGTCCAACAGAAGAGAAATGAAAGTGAAAGTAATCAGAGCTGTACTTCCTATTAAAATGTAATAAACCACATCAAAATAAACTGTTTTCTCCTATCTTTCTGCATTTCTCTTCTTTTTTCCTCTTTCCCTCTTTCTCAATTCTTTTTGCACTTCATCTTCTTAATTTCTTTCCCCCATTTCAGCAGTAGCCTCTGAGAACAGTCAGACTTCACTGAATGCAGGTGAAACGTATGTATGTGATGGCTTAGGTCTCTGCTACTAATGCTGGTAGTTGAGTGGCTGAGGATGAGAACAAATTATGTATTTACACTGCAATTATAGGAATTATATGGCTTACTGTCTAAGTACCATTCTGCATCATGGTAATTATCATGATACTAAATAGCTGAGTGTCATCATTGAAGGAACACAAGTCATTACCACAGTCTACATATGATAACTCTTAAAGATAATTGCTATGTAATCTTTAGGTGATTGAATTATCATGCAGACCCATGTGCATGCTGCCAGCACAGCTCTGCATAAAAAAAGGAGCTTAATCAAAGATTACTGCTGTTTCTTTTTTTAATTGAATTATGTTCAAAACATGGCAATTCCTGGCCAGGTTTGGGGAAGCTGCATTTCCTGAGCTTTCTGAAGTGTGTGATAGGAATTTTCTTCAGTGAATGATGTGAAGAATATGTATACATAACTGCAGCAATGGCATAGGTACAAAAGGAATATATGCTCACCTTTTCATAGGCAGCATGTTGTAAATCCACAGACGCACAGAAGTCAAACCATTGACCTGATCAGCAATGGATCAGATGCAGGACTGTTAACAGAGCTTGTGCAGATGTTACAAAGGGGTACCAGCTGGCCTGAGGGTAAAGACGATATAACTCATACAGGGTTCCTAGAACCATCAGGAAGTAAATTTAACAAATGATTATGGAAGAAAGTCTTCCATTGTATAAGGAATAATATTTTTACTATGTATATTTGTTATAAAGGTTGCTTAAGCTGCAGTGTTCAATTTTGTTTCATTTGTAGCATTTGTTCAAGGCAGTCATATGTAGATTCAAAAGAGCATAATCTGTATAGCAAATTTGCTTTACATAGAAGTATGAATTTTGTGATAGCAGAGAGACTTGCATGTGGATACTTTTTCTATAAACAGATTTAATGCTTTTCTAAATGTTGTTTTAGAAAAGTACATACAAAAATCTCAAGGAGACATTCCCTGCCTCTCTTGGCATCTTGTAAGGCAAGCAAAAAAAAATAGGTTGATGCAATCTCTCTTGCAATATTTTTCTAACCATTTTCTTTGTTTCTTCAAAACAAATTCCAGAAGTAATGTATTTACTTGAGTCATGAGAATATACAAGATAACCTTACCTCTGAAACTGCATAGTGTTGCTTCTGAATACAGACTCAGAGTATGCACCAGGGTGGCCTCATTTCTGCGAGCAACATCTGCGTCTGTGCCTGAGAAAGCATTTGCTCCTTGCATGCTGATGACATTTTAATGGATTTCTTGCACTGCAAATGCAACCTGCCATTCGGATATTTAATTTTGAGCTGATTTGACTTCCTGGAATTTGTCATTCAGAAAAATCGATCAGGCTGAGATGTTTAGTTCAACTTACAGCTTATGATTGGAATGTGTATTGTAAAGTGTATTTTATAAACAAAAGTGGTATTTCTAGCATGTATTGTTACATTCTTATATATGAGAGATATATGGGATAAATATGGGATATTGCAGTCAATTTATAGTGCTTATGTTTTATGTACTGAATAGAATTTCTTCACTATTTAGTTGGCATAAATAGTAAGGGGGGCAATGTTTATCATCTCATCAAAAGCCTTTGCAAGTTTAGGGAGATTTGGAATAGGTTCAAGTTATATGGTTGAATCTCTTCCATTGAAGAATGCAACTGCTAGCACAAATCTGTCACCGTTGGGTCTGAGTGTCTTAGTTTGTTATCTAATCAGAAGCAGAGATGAACAGAGACTGCATGATTATTGCGCAAATAACATCTCTGTCTACGTGTCTTCTTTCTAATGGCAGTAAGAGTCTAGAATTGGTGCTTCTAGTTAAGTGATGCAAGGAATGGGAGATATGCATGGCACAGGTTTTATTACTAGCCTAGTAGTTAAGGGTGAGAAAATAGAAGATTTGACATATGGTTCTATGTCATTTGAAGGAGTGATTGGAAAATTCTTCCCTTATACCTCTTTTCCACAGACATGGAAATGGGTCATTGTGATCCACGAAAAAGTCTATGCATTAAAAAAAGAAAAAATACATAAATCTTGGCCACTGGGAAGATGGGAAGATCCTTCAGATCTCTCAGTGGTTGTTGACAATCTGCTGCTACTGATTCTCTTGTGTTAAAAAAACAGTGTGACACAGAAATGCATTGCATATGCCTATTAATCTTTCAGAAAAGAAGGGACATGTTATGGAGACATGAGGAAACTTTCATTATAGATCCTGTGTCCTCATTTTCCTAGAACTCCTTGACTCCCCCAGGAAGAATCTTATGGAGTCTTTGGCTGCTGTGAATAGAGAATGAAAGTTTATTTTCTTGGACTTTTTTCTGATCTAACTTGGAAAGATGAAGCAGAGTGATGAGACTTGGTTCCCAGGTTTAACGCAGCTTTTTTTGACACGGTTAATGCTCCTTTTGTTAATACTAGTGGCCTTTGTAACTGAGCCAGTGTGTGAGTATGAGTACAACATAGCATGTCTTAGATGTGGATCTCAGCTGGAGTCTGAAATACATACACTTGATGCTGGTCTGCAGAAAATACTGCTTATCTGTAAAACTCTTTATCTTAAAAAGCAGCAGCATTGTGAAGGTAAAATCACAAGCTGTGATGATCCGTGCAGCCCTGAGATACATAAACTTATTTTTAGGATAAGTTAGGTGGACCTGTCAGTCAACAACTGTCCACTGTCATGCTTCCCCCGTATCGGTCTTAAGAACTGTTAACAGAGTTTCTGCAAGGTAGCAAAGTCCCCAAATTCTGCATTTTGTAATAATCCCAAGAGAGTCAATGGGTTGTGTCAAGTGAGGATAATGACTTTATTGTGATTATACATGCAGATTTATTGGAGATGTACAGATGACAAATGGTTATGTCAATCAGAAACAGATATCACATACTACATCAGCATGCAGAGACTCACAGTGTCAGCAAAACAAATGACCTGGAAGTAGTAGAGGACTATTTATTATAGTAGTGCTTTGTGGGGAAAATCCTGAATGATGGAAGCATAATGTGTTGGTCTTTATATCTGAAAACTTGTTATGCTCAGTGATGTAAGGATGTATGAATAGGCATCATGAATCAACATGACTGTGAGCCTCCGTCTCAATTGGGTGTGTTTTAGTTAATGAATACAAGATGGGTTGTGGATTTTTTTGACTGAACAATGAAATAGATACCATTTATGAAAGGCTGATTGTGGTTTTATATACTTTTCTCTAGAAAATAAATGTTAAACATCATGAAGCTTGATTAAATGGTCTTCTTTGACATTCAAAGAGCTCTTTTATCACTGTGAAAAATATTTCTGGAAATTATGGAATGTGAAAAAGCAACCTGTACAGATGCTGTACATAAGCAGTTCTTTGATAGCAATTAAGGTCCCAACGGTATTAAAAATTGACTCAGCAGACAGTTCTGGTGGTTCTTAAGTTCTCATGGCAGAGATGGATGTACAAGTTTGGTTGGGCTGTTCTCTGAAACAGGGTGTAAAATACTGTTCCAGAGATTCATTGAAAAGAAGCATTTTCTAAATGCGTGTTTCACGTATGTTGGAAGAACAAAGAACAAAGCCAAACCTGGAACAAAAATTAGCCCAAATGACAGATTTTTTTTTCTTTTGTTTTTCTCAAAATTACTTAAGGCCATAGCTAACGTGAGATTTCCATATGAAACTGAACTAAACAAGGTTTATGCCTATGGTTCACATATAGCTTGAGGAATCCTTCAGAATTGCTAGGCAATTTCTTTGGGCTCAAGTTTTACTGCTTGTAATCTTCCCAGATACCTATACTGGATTTTAAAGAGGTATCACATGAATTATTAATGACTGCTCAGAAGTTTGTCTGTCTTTTTTAACTATAATTGGGAAAGTTTGTATGGCAGCAAGTGTATTTGAAAGAAAACCAGAAGATGTTGAGTACAGCTGTAGTATTTATCCCCCTGAATCTGCTTTTTTTTAATATGGTATGGATTAAATTTATGTCTTGCTTGGTTCCTGCTTTTTATAGTATTAAATTATATCCAAGAGAAAATATATTTACAATGCATATCACACTTGACTGTTTTTTATTCTCTCTAGGTATAATCTACATACAGCACATCTGATTTTCCTGTGGCCATGGGAATATAGTCACTCATCAACAGTGTTGTTTGCTTTTTCCTTTAGGGGCTGATGTTATCAATTTTGATGGCCATGTAGTGTTACCATACAGATTCAGGAACAAGAAAATGAAAACACTGAAAGATGTCATCTCTCTGAAATTTAAAACCTCTGAAAGCGAAGGTGTAATCTTCCACGGAGAAGGACAGCAAGGAGACTATATCACCTTGGAACTGAAGAAAGCCAAGCTTGTTCTAAATTTAAATTTAGGTATGCTTTGGTTGTTTAGCTTTGGGTACTTTTTAACTCTCCCACAACAAATTTATGTTAAATATTGCATCCTTTATTCCCCCCCCCATAATATGGTAAATCACATCATTTTAATTAGGTAACTTGATGACAATGATGCTCACTCCCTTTGTATATGATTTTTTTGTTTGTTCTATTCCTTCCTTTTTACTGTGAAAATAAGATTATACAGAAAACCAGGATCAGCAATATATTGTAGTTAGAAACTTGCAGCAAACAAAAAAGCCGGGCTAGAATTACATTTGGCTTCAGCTGTGGCTTTGTGTGAGAGAAGGATGCTATCGTCAGTGCTAGAGAAACAAAGGTCACCTTTAGGAACCTTCAGCAAAAAAGTATCAATCTGGGCAGCAGCTTACCACATGAAGTTGAGGTTCAGCAGCCTTCCTAGAATATGAGAAGGAGGACTAAGAAGGAAGACATACTGGTTTATCAGGCAGTCATATGATGAGATCCTGTATACATTACTTCCAGCACCCTGTTCCCTCCCAGTGAAAGACTACAGGCTCCTGAGTGACTGTAGTTATAAAGTACATTTATTGTACATTTATATGAAGAAAGACACGTTTATCTGGTTTCAGTTTGGTTTGGGCTTTTTTTTAACTTCAGACAAGAGAGTTTTAGAAAAAGGTTCCATGAAGCTTTCCTTTGTTCTCTTACAGACATGTGAAGAGTAAATTATTCTGTTCGTTATTTACATTGAATAGTAATTATTTCCACTAGCATTTTCTCCTTTTCTTTTTCGAAAGATCAATGTGAGCAGATGATGAGGAGGAAATCATATCTTCTTATAGCATTTAGCTATTTTTGCAATACTAACCCATTCATTTCCAGTTTCTCCATAATCTTCAGTCTGTCTTTATAAGCTATTACAACTTCCATATATGTGCTTGGTGGGGATGATCCTAAGTCATGGCAGATAAATCAGAATGGGCCCTGTGACACACACTCAACAGACAGAAGTAATAAAAGTAATGGTTAGTGGTGTTATTCTTCCCCTTCCTGAGGGTGTATTGTGTTTGCACCAGTCAGTGGACAGAGGTGTTCATTTTGCCTGGTGAAATCCAGAGGCATAGTTTTAAACATGGGTGATGGAGGCAGAGGAGGAATGGGGAGGCAGGGTAGGATTTAGGTTTCACTTTGCCCTGGGTTTGACACCGAATTGAAGAAATTAAGGCTCATGCATGGCTTGATTTCTTTATGTAGTTTTTAACCTACAGCTGTTGAAGGGTCAGTGGCCTTCAGCAAAAAGGCAATGTGATCATTTGTACGGGAGTAATGTCTTCTTAAGCCACGGAAGTGTGATTTGCCAGAATGTGTTAGCAACATGCACAAACCTTAATGCCCGATTTGCAGGCATGCTTGATGGCAAGAAATTCTCAGCTCCAGAAACGCCTTAGGTCCTCGTGTATTCAGAACATGAAAGATTGTACTGAGTTATTGGGCAACACACCCTTTTTTTCTTAACTTACTGCTGTATTAGTCATTTGCTGCTTCAGCTGAGATGCATGGTCTCAGTCTTTGCCGGCTTAGCTATGTCAGTCAGATTGCAAAGAGGCGTGATCTCTCACTTGCATAGCTGCACTGGCAAAAGCCCCTGGAAAACACAGCAGAGAACTCCAAAACCGTACTCTTGCCAGTAGTCTTGATTTCCAGAATAGGAAGGTTGCTGCAGGAGAAAAGGCTGAAATAAGCTATGTTAGCAGAAGACAGTTTTTGCTACTGTTAGCTCAGTCTGTGCTAAGCCTTTTCGTATACGCTCACTGGTGTAGCTATACTGGCAGGTCCTACGAAGTGTAGAACACTAAGCTGAAAAGGGTGTTTCCAAAGTCTGTTACCAGGCACCATGTGCTCCTCAAAAGTCATAGATCAGTACAGTTCCAGGGAATCTCAGGACCTGGCCCAGAGGTGACAGCTTTTCATTGCAAACACAATACACCCTCAGGAAGGGGAGGAATAACACCACAAACCATTACTTTTATTACTTCTGTCTATTGAGTGTGTGTCACAGGGCCCATTCTGATTTATCTGCCATGACTTAGGATCATCCCCACCAAGCACATATATGGAAGTTGTAATAGCTTATAAAGGGGTGAAAATGCAGAAATCCCCTAGCATTCCCTAGATGAAAACGTCTTTATGACTGAAAAATTGGTACTGCTTCTCTGGTTCACCTCCGTATAACTACTGTTACAGATAACTGTTCATACAGCTCACTGATCAGATACCTGGTGTGTTTGGTCTAGCTGTTTGTATTTGTGGCAGCAGCTCTCCACTGGACAGATCTCAGCTTCATAGTGGACTGACTTTCTCTAGGTTATGATGTGTCTGGTATGATTCAGGTGAAATATTGACAGAACAAGAGGAAGATGTTTGGTTGACTGGTATGAGGTGAGAATTGCTGTTGTTTCTATTCTCATGTTAGGCAGCAACCAGCTTGGCTCTATTTATGGCCACACATCCGTGATGACAGGCAGCCTCTTGGATGATCACCACTGGCACTCCATCATCATAGAGCGCCATGGGAGAAACATCAATCTCACCCTTGACAGACACATGCAGCACTTCAGAACCAATGGAGAATTTGATTACTTGGACCTGGATTATGAGGTAGACATTGAAACTTGTTTGTTTTCATTCAATTGGCTTTATAAAGATTAGTCCAATAAGAAAAGAAAATGAATATAATTTAAAATGTTTTGGGACCTTTTTTTGTATATTTATTTTTATTATTTTTCCCTAACATTTCGTGAAATATTCTTTTCAGCTCTGTTCTCTTTTAAGTGTAAATGAAGTTTCTCTTCATTAGCCTACCAGATTCCATCTGGTGGAAAAGTCATCTCAGCCTTTTGTTTTAAAATGAGAGATCTATGTTCCTCAGCAGGCTTAGCTGTAAACGCAGCTGCTGTAAGTGGGAACTAAATTAAAGAAACATCATACAATCTGCTGTCGCATTCAGGTGATAGTTTTTCACTGGAATAAAAAAAAATCTCATTCTGTGGTGACAATTAGTATTTTTATTTAGCAAAGCAAGCAGATGAGAACCTTTTTACTAATACGGATCTTGATCTTTTCTAGGTAGGTACTTCCTTGCATTTTCATAAATACACCATCAGTAACTTCTTTAAATAAAGAAGCAGTAAAGAGTGATTCAAGTCCTACGGAAACTTTCATTTGATCAGTCAGATTAATGCACACAAGTGTTGATAAAAATTAGATGTGGATTTGTTGTTTGATTGCACTCTGCTTCTGCTATTGTGAACTTGTTTGGTTCCTTTAAATTGTTATTCAGACTTCAGCATGTTATTACAAACTTTGTATAATGATTTTCTTTACTGTTTCTAATGAGCCAAATACATGTATTTATGTCCTTGCAACTTTTTAAACAGTGAAAGGGCATCAGCATTGACTCGCATATTGATAGTTTTATGATCTTTTGATCAAGAATATAATGCGAATGTTTAAAAAAATAGTATTATAAATGAATCATTTTACTTACATCCCAACAGATCTTTATGAATGCCTTCTTTGGTAGCATTAGAATGAGAAAATAATGAGCAAATTTGCCTATGCTTCTGTTACTTATTGAGCACTGAACATCTGAATCGGGCTTCCGAAAACTCACATAAACAGATTTATTAGAGATTTTCAAGGAGCCAACTAAAGAAAAATTAGGCTGAATATTACAAGCCAGGGCTGGGCAATTTAAATATATAGATACCCCGCATATATATATACACACACATGGGCACACATATACAAATACATATGTGTGTGTGTGTATAGACACACATGTATGTAGCATGTTTCCATGAGTAATACATTGCATACAGTATATTTACACCTAGTAAGAGTAGGATCCAGGAGAATCACCTTCCTGTCTTCTCTAACATTAGAGGCCTCACTGGCAGTTCTCAAAGACACATTTCAGTCTCTTACGTTTAATGGAACTTACTTGAATGGGTATAGATACATGTTTCTATGGTTCATGCAAATGCAGGAGCCTTAACCTGTTCTCATTCCTTTCCTCTCAATTATCTCACTGGTTTTGGAGTTAGTTACCACAGATAACATTTCAATGTGGTGCCCTTGTGGTAAAATAATCATGGTGGATAAATCTGAAAGAGTAAAAATAATTTTTCATAAAAAAAAGCTTCCGGGTTACAGTCAGAAATGTCAAGTAAGCACAAAAAAGGAATAAACGTCAGTTCTGATTGCGTTTCAAGATCAAAAAAGGAAATCCTCATGAGTCCTTAATGTCTTGGTTCGTGGTTTTTGCAGTTTCGATCCTTTCCTTCAAAATGCTTACCTTTCCATTTTCTCTTGTGCAAACATATGACTACAACATACAAAAGAATTAACATTAGTGGTTTAACAGCCATTAAAATGTCACAGTCACATTCTCCAGTTCATGTAAAGTGGTGTGTCTGCTCTAAAGTCAAGTCATATCCCTTTATAATACCTGAGGATGTGTCCCGCAAAATGCTTTCAAATGGCTGTGGTGTGTGCTGTTCATGAAGATTCACGTTTTCAGCTGTATAGCTTTAGCTCTTTTTATATGCCAAGTCAAAACCTCCTCTTTGGGGTAGAAAGTGATATCTTACATGCTTTTAAAGTGGAAAATGTGTCCCTAGAGCTGCGTTTTCCTGCTGTCAGTAGTAACAAATGGAATTAACAATGAATAATATTTAAAAGCTTGGCTCTGCCAAACCTCAGCAGCAGATTATAAGTAGACATTTTTGTGAGCATCTGTGGGACCGGAAGACTAGGTGTCATTGCTATTTATGCCATCATCTATTGGACATAAATATTTAACATAGATTGCAAGGGTTAATCTCATGAGTCCCTTATTCTTCACATTTGGGCTGCAAAACATTAATGAAAATGTGTAGCCTTTATTCACTTCCAAGCATTTCAGAAAAGACCCTAATGTGGTAGAGACCTGTATAGTCTCTATGGAGTGACAGGGAGAGACTTCATGAGATGAACATTTTTAGTTAGTAAACCACTTGGTTTTCTTCATTCTTTAGCAGTAGCAATTCTGGATAACCCAGTGTTTTAGGGTAATGAAATTCAGCATTAAGAGAAAAACAGTCCCTGTTTGACTCTGATGGCTGAGTCTTTGCAGTGATTGTCTTCATCTCCATGGAGGTCATTCGGCCTATGGAAGTCATGTGGTAACTCCTCATTGACTATAACTACATCATAAAAGCATGTTCTTAGTGGTGGAAAGTGCTTCTGTCTAACACAGAATAGCTTTTTTAACTATGTGATTCTGTAAAATGCAGCTGGAGGAAGTAGATATATAAGCTTTAAAGGAAACAAATGGTATTGGAGCCCACTGCTGCTGTGTTGTAGTCTGAGCTCTGGCACGCAGTTAGAACTGAGTGAATGATTTGAATCAGATTATTCAGCTAATTCCTTGTCTACTCTTGTCCAGAAAAATACTGGAATGGACATGTATTCTAAGTTCTTTGTTTCAAATGCATGTTGTTCAGTAGCAATCAGAAGTTCAGTTGATATATGAATAACTGTGATGTCTGTTTGGACAATTGTAATGATAATTGGGATTTACTACCATAAATGTTTGCAATCAGAAATTCATTACAGATATTTTTCCTGCTTTTGCAGAGCTTATTTGATACTTCTCTTTTCTGCAAGCAGTACTGCCAGCTCTCTCATTCACTGTGTTTGAGTGTTCAAAGAAAGAAAATAACTTCTGCAGCAAATTTGTGTAAAAGTCTTTGCCCTCCAGTAACTACCCGCCATTTTCTGTTTCATTTCAAGATAACCTTTGGAGGCATGCCGTTTTCTGGGAAGCCAAGTTCTAACAGCAGGAAAAATTTCAAAGGCTGCATGGAGAGCATCAACTACAATGGCAATAATATCACTGACCTTGCCAAAAGGAAGAAATTGGAACCTTCTAATGTGGTAAGAGCATAATTTAATGGTCATCTACAGTTCTGCTTCTCCATCAAAGGAGACTAGAAGGTTTGTGAGTTGTGTATCTGGTATCCTTCTGGTATACTGGAATGATATAGAACACAAACCAAATTTTATCACATACCCAAGGATCTTACTGTATGTGACTTCTTTTTTATTATTATGTCTGAGCACTTTATTTCTGGGGTCCCATTTCATCCTTCCAAAATTAACTTTCAGTATCAGATAATTACTTTTTGAAAGAAAATAAGCTGAACCAGTAAGTACTTCTTTCCTTTCCTCTCAAATTATAGTAGTCCAAAACCAACACAGGCTTTACTATTAAATCAATTGCAGCTTTCTTGTGGCTTTAAACTCTGGTATCTTCCATCCCTGCAGAGCTGGTTGGATTGCTGGAGTGCAGAAGTCGTTCTCCAGGCCTTTCTGGTAACTCTGAAAAGCCTCAATACATTAGACTTGGAAATCATTATTTAGCTTATTAACATTACACAGCTTATTAGCATTTTATTCTATCTTTTTCTCTTGCTTAAACATTCATAGTTTCTTTCATGTTCAAACTTGGGACTTTATGGGCAGAACGATTAAGAAAGAATGTACTTTAATTACTGTATTTTTAAGGCTCTAAATGTTCCTAAAATTGCTTGCCTGCACACAAAGGCAATGTGGGTAAGAAATAAATGTATTATTGCCATGAATTTGAGACAGCCTGAATAAGTTGTTCAAGACTTTCTCCTATACAAGTTTACAGCATTCACAAACTGCTGCTAAGTATATGTATGGTTCCACTATTGCTTTTCTCTTTATGTAGTAAAGAGTAAAGATCTACATATGCAGCAATGATGAAGTGCAAAGGATCGATTATTTGCTTACTCCTTGGTTAGTAATACTGAAGCATTACTATGCATATTGTAATACTGAATAATTACTATACATAGTAATACTGAAGTATTACTATACATACTCTTACATATGAACAATATGGCTAGATGGTCAAGGTAGCATGAAGGATAAGTCTGAGCATGTGGTGTTTGCCTGTACAAACTCAGTAATACAGCCTGGCAGTTAGAGCTTTTTCTGTGCATTAATTTCTCCAGTGTTCTCACAGGCAAAGAGCATGGTACATGTGCCATGGAGGAAGGCTCCCCTTTTAGAACTTTTTGCACCAGTTGCATAAACTCCAGAATCTTTGGCTTAACTTGTTTTCCAAAATTGCCTGTAACTTCCTTTCTGCAGTGCATTTTAAGCTTGTGAAGTAACCAAGATTTTCAAGCATCTTTGTACAGAAACAATCTTTCCATATGACACAGTCGAGCCCACCGCAAGTTGGTAGAACATATTCTTTAAACCTCTTTCTGAGCAGAAGTGTTGCTTAAGAGGTGTCTGTAGTGCAATTCCTATCCTTTCACAGGTGTGACATAGCTAGCAGGACCGAAAATTCTATGCCAGATAATCTCTGGTTTTTATTTGTTTGTTTTTAAAATTGTTACCTGTAACATGAAAGTAAACTCCACATAAGAAGCTTCAGTAGTGTTAGTGCTACATCAGGAGGCTATGGCATGCTAGCTTAATTTGATGGTGCTGTTGATTTCCAATTCTAAGAATGGCTATAAAAATAGAAGTGAGCTTTATTTTCAGTAGAATTACTTAAATCGCTTCAGCTCTTCAAAAGCAAAATCAATTTTAATCTAACTAAATCAACATGGATCTTTATGTTTCTTCCAACAGGTTTTTTTTTTCTCCTAGTTTTTAGTTTGATTTACCATGAAAAATAGGCTCGATTGAGAGCACTGTTGTTGTTAATCATGTTTATGATGATGGCACTTAAGCAATCCAACAAAGATCAAAGCTCCCTTATAGCAGATCCTGTACAAACCCACAACAGTAGGCACACCCTGTCCTAAATGGTGTACTATATGAAGAGACAAGACAGACAAATGTAATGGTGTGGAACACAGGCAGAGTAATCAGTATGGTGATGAGAAGTATCATAAGGTGGGGAAAAAAACAGAGGGAAGAAGGATGTTAAAGAGGTGTGTGGCAGAAGAAAAACTATTCTTAGATACAGGCAGTTGAATTTCAGAAATCACATAGTGAAAGGGACTTGACAAGTTAATTTTACAGAATGAGGAGGCCCAGAGAATCAAAGATGATAATAAGATGATAATCTTGATTTTTTTTTTTTTTTAGGTCTCATATACATAGGTATATGAGCAAAAAAAAGCATCACCAGGCATCTCTTTACTGAAGAGGAAGGATGTAAAGACAATTTAAAGTACTTTAAACTTAAAGAAAGTCCATCACTGACTTTAATAGTGTATTTCTTTTAGAGGGTAAAAATAAGGGGGAAAAATCCACAATCCTTTGTAACTGATAAGATGGCAACAGCTTACTGGGGTGAATGAGTCAGATGAATGGTCATAAACAGTTATTGTTCTTATTAGTGGAGCCTGATTTGTTTTCATAGAAGATAAATGACACAAATTATAAAGATGCCCAAAAGGGAGAGTCAGGGGAAAAGAACAGCCAGGACAGGGAATGGAAGGGTCTGCTTTTCTTCTGAACCAAGCTGCAAACAAGAGTTGGCAGTGACTAACTAGCGCAGTAGGTGCTCACTGTTGTATATAGCTTGACTCAGGACTAACACAGAAACAGGAAACATGCTTGTAAACAACCTTCCAGTCTACTTTTCTGTATTTTCTACTAAAATATAACAAGCCTTGTAGGAATTTCATTATCTTGCATAACTGAAGATTATTGACCCTTACCCCAGTAGTGAGAAGAGGCTAGAATATGCAGCTAACAAGAAGTAGCCCAGAGAAATTTGAGTTTAGGAATCTAGTCACTTTATCAAACCCATCCAGAGGTATATTAAGAGCAAGCAGTGTGAATACTGATTTGATTTAGTTTCTACAGAACAGACTCTACATTTTTAAAGCCTGTAACTGAAAACTGGTGAGGAGAATCATATTTGCTACCCTTCATCTTTACATCCACTAGGTCTATGCTCCACCCAGTTGTGCAGCTCCTGTGCCCTGTGTTACTAAGTTCAGTCACATATAAACTTAAGATGACACTTCGTTAAATTATTTACGTTGAGTGAACATTGTGTTAAGCTTAAAGATGAATAATAAGGTATTTTGAGAAAAGTACTGAAATAACATGATAAACATTAGCATACATTGCCAGTAAGGTATGAGCCTTATTTACCAGGTATTGCAGTCTTAACAAACTCATTATTTTTCATTTGGGAGCAATGCATTCAGCCAGTAGCTCTATTAATTGGGAAAGGATTTAAGACCTGGTAGTAGTTCCATGAGGGGTAATATCTGATTGTGGGTAAGCAAAATTGGTTTATAAGAAGTAAACATGGTGCTAATTTTCAAGACAGATTAAAGATCATTATACAAAGCTCACGAGACCCAAATTAAGGTCTTTTTACCATTTCCCTTCCAATGTAGTATGAAAAATTCTCTGTTAAGACCAGTAGTTTCAATATAAATGCACAGTATATTTTTGACTATGAGATGTCATTGCCAAGAGAACTATTCAGCAAGAAACTCTGAATCTGTAGAAAAGGATCTGTTTCTCTTTGAAAAACGGGGATGTCTTTATAGAGACAAGCTGCAGATTAGTTCTAACTCTTGACTTTGAGCTAGTGAGCAAACTATATCAGATGGGCTGTATTTCACAGTCAAAGAGGGAATTGATAATCCTGTTCAGATTAATGAGTAGCTCAGTAGGGAAAATACTAACTAGGAAAGAAATCAGAATTATATCTTGACTTCGTCAAGAAATCTTTTATGTGGTTAGGCTGGTGATGGTGTGAAAAAGGATTTGAATACATTTAGTGTCATTAACATTTATAGGTGTTATACATGCAAGTATCCAAAGCATCTGGATGACAGGAGAGTGTCAGTTAGATATGAAAGCCGCCTTGTTACGAGGAAATTGTTAGTTCCTCTCGGTAACAAGGCAGAAAAAGAAGCTCTTAAAAATGTCTAATAAGATGCTTTCTGAGCATTACTTAATTGGAATCTAACTGAACTGTGAGATGTCAGCTCTTATGAATTGCTGTTGCCTTCTGTGTCTCCACAGGACTGTGTAGCTGAAGTCGTGACTGTAGTTGTGACCGTAGAATGTTAACAAAGGGTTGCAGAGGGTATTTTAGTCACTCTCCAGCTTATTATTTTTCTGTATTTAAAATCTGTGGTTTAAGCAAAAATATTCTGTAGCACACTTGGAAATACTGAGACTAAAACTTGTCAAACAAACGAGTTCACTGTTTGGATTTAATGGTTAGCTGGCTGAAACTTACAATCTCTAGGCAATTTTTAAACAAAAAACCCCACTCAAAATAGCCAAGTACCTTTGCAACAAAGGAGTTAAGTGGAGGTCCTTTGCCTTTTCTGAGACAATAGTTGTACTTTTGCTCATCACACTGTAATTAAAGTTTCCTATACTTGTTTTAGCTGATTATTTTCCTAAATTCTTGGCTGTTTTCTGTTACCCATTAAACACAGGTGTATGAAAAGAACATGGTTTGTAATGCTGAGGTTTGATGATAAAGATAGGAGTGAATCCTTTAGGAGATCAGTATGAAGAAATCTCTAGTTCCCTATTATTCCAAACATCTTCTTAACTGATGGTGGAGGCTGCCAAGCTGGTAATCTAGCTGGTACTAGTTCTGCTGGCCTTTATGCGTGAGCTATTTTAAAGCCTTGCAGTCAATAAAGTTGACTGGATTTCTGTCAGTGTCCCAAAGAGTAAAATTTTGAAGTGTGAAAACTGCACTTTCTTTTACAGAGAAAATTACTGAGTTACTACAAACATCGCACATTGATCATGATCATGTACTCCAAATCCTTCTATTTGATGAAATGAAGTATTAGCTTATCTAGTATTACCTAGTAGAAAACACAACAGAGGCTGGCTCTTCATGAGGTATTATATGTCCTTTCACAACTTCATGTACTGTATTGATTGACACATTGATATAATGGTATTTGGAAAGCTTTATTTCATTTTTGTAAAAGGAGGAATTACTGCTCTGTCGTAGGCATCTTTGGTGGCCACAAACAAGCTGGAGTTTCTCTGTGATTAATTTCTGCATCTTTGAATTTGGAATTTTACTGCTTTTATCAAATCTTTATCTTAGAATTTAAATGTGTAGGGCAAAGACTGCCTCTTATTGTGTATTTGTTCAGAACAGAATACAGGGGGACCATTGCTAGACAAAACAGAAACATCAGCAACAACTAACAATAATAATAGTAGTAGCACATCTTTACGTGCAGCTTTCATCAATCACAGTAGTCAAGGCTTAATAAAACCGAGAATACTTTTCTAGAGGTTGCTATGAATGTAGTGGAGTCTTACATTTTGCTTATGTTTTTGCTTCTTTTCTTGTGTTTTACTTAGGGAAATTTAAGTTTTTCTTGTGTGGAGCCACATACAGTGCCTGTCTTTTTCAATGCAACCAGTTACCTTGAGGTTCCTGGTCGTCCAAGCCAGGACCTGTTTTCAGTCAGTTTCCTTTTCCGAACCTGGAATCCCAATGGACTTCTTGTCTTCAGCAACTTTGCAGATGACCTGGGGAACGTTGAGATCGACATAAATGAGGGCAAAGTCAGTGTCCATATCAATGTCACCCAAGTGAAGAAGAACCGAATAGACATCTCATCCGGTAAGTGTTGTTTTATTTTAATTGGTATCCTTTTTCTTGGTGTTGTTTAAAAGCATCATGGACCTAAAATTAGAACAGTCGTTTTACCACACTTTAACTGCATTAAATCCTGTTTCATTGAGTAAGAGGTAGAAGAATATTGAAACAGTTGCTAGATTAAAAAAAGAAGACACAAATATTCTGTTGTGAAACCCAGCCAAGGTATTGCCCCTTATCTCTGAGGCAGCATTGCTTCTATTTTCCTTCCGTCCATCTGTCTTGCAGTCTTCTCTACAAAAGTATTTGGTTTCAAAGGAGGAGGGTATTTCCATGTTAAGAGTGGCCTAATAATTAGGCTGTTCCTGTTACTTCCTAATAATTAGGAAGCTCTCCTTAAAGAGAAGAAAAAAAAAGAACCCAAACCCCAACCATGTTTGTTTTAACCACAAGGCTGGCATGAAAAATACTGTGGCGTTCTCTAAGTGTGCTTAGAGTCATGCTACCGGAGTACCAGAGCTTTTAGCACCAAACTAAGTTAGGTGTTGGAATACTGGGTATAAGGTGCAGGGTTAGGTTTGTTGCTGGAAGAAAGGGTGTGTGTTAGTGTCAGTTGATTGCCTTTTGATATTACTTGATACATTTATATTGATAAATTAGACTTTCAGTCTAGATTCTTTATGGGCATTTCTGGATCAGCCGTAGTTACATCGTGTCAGTCGACACTTTTCAAAGCGGTCATAACCTAATCATGGTTGGAAGATACAGGGTTGCTTGCAAATGGATCTAGCTCCACATTAAAAAAAAACCACCCAGTGATTATTTCAAATAGCAGTTATGGCAACCTAATTTCTCAGCCTCTTTTTGCCTGAAGTCATCTGTGGTTACTATTTTCTCTTAATTTCATAGTGGTCTTCAGTCTTCAAGAGGATTGATCTACTGGTCTAGCTCTGAACAATGACAGTGGTTTAATGTCTACTTACTTGTTTGATTTCTATTTGGAAATATGTTGTCTGCATAGTCATATAAACAGGAATGTGAAGAAATGGAAGAAAAAATAAAAAATGCCTGTTTTTAATGAGAAAACATGTATTACGTGGGAAAGCAACGTTTCATTTGGCACGTGGACATTTTTGAGTTTTCTCTTTTCGCCCTGTTAATGAAATAGGGTGAAATGAAAATAATGAAAGAGGCATGAAATGAAAATAATTATTTTAACCACAGAACTGAGTAAAATATGGATAACAACAACTAAAAATCAGTTTGCTGTTTTGTAAAATTGAAATCTCTGTATGAGAAATACGTACCTCCTTTCATCATTACATTTTGTTTTAGCATAAGAAGTCAACACCATAGATTGCAACTTAGCATTTCATTGCCTCTTATATAAATACACTCATAAAAGAATTAAGTAATGTTTTGGTACTACAGGAGGATCTTGAACAGGAATGTTTTGTTAAGGTGCTAGTGCATCATAACTAGGAAACATGAAATTATCAACCTCAATTCTTTCTTCGTTAGCTGTACCTCATACAAATCCCAGTTTACAGGGAGAAGTGGCTATGCACAGTACTCTTCATGAGTGCTCTCCATGAGCTTCCTCGTGCCTTTCAACAACTTGCCACTAATGTTGCCCAGTGTACGTATTGATATAACACCATTCTAACATTCCATTCCGTTTACATTCTGGTAAGAAAACACATGTGAGCACTTCTGATTTGCTTTTCTGCTTTCCATTAGACCTTCATCCACAAAACCTCTACAGCTACTGTGGTGTAGAACCAGGGTTTTCATATGCTGACTTTCTTCTGAAATATTCCAAACTGAATGTTCTTGAGAGTAAATCTTTTCAGTCCATATGATCAGTTTATGTAATAGCCCAAGAATCAAATGCAGCCACTCATTTTTATAGCCATGATGCTGTTCTTAATCTCCATAAAACTCACTATCTACATACAACAGTTTGAGTATTTTAAAGAGTTAGTTTCCTTTGTTATGACAATTTATGCCACAGTAAAAATGCATTTATTGTTTAATTTTCAATGTGTGGACTTTTTATTTTTGCATAGCTATCCTGGGAAGGTATTGATTTATACTTTCATATTTAGTTTCATACTTGGTTGCATCAGGCATTTCAGTGCCTGTGAAATGAACTGTGTGTGCTAACACAGGAAGGCAAACTATGGCATCTGCCAGTAAAGGCTGCAGAAAGAACACTGCTCTTGTACAGCAAATATCACAGCGACCCTCTTGTTCCCTTCTTGTGCAGGGAATTAAGACGTCAGCGTATAAACCTGCTGGGTTTAGGTAGAAGTCACAGTGGTCTGCCTTTGGCACAGAGATTTCTGTGTGTTGTAGTCCTGTAGATATAAGATGCACACTTCCTCACTTATTATTTTTAACAGCTGTCAAAGCAGAATTTTGTGTAGTCAAGTGCGCAGCCTTCTATGTAATTGCATGTGTATGGTATGGATAATCAGAGTTCTGTCCAATGGGAGGTACACCCCCTTTTTGTCAGGGACAATTAGGCTAACTAAATCCACAGCCTAGGTGCAGGTGTGTTGTGTATTTCTGAGCTTTGCTGTACTTTTGCCTGACACCTGTAATTGTGTACTTTCCCTTTAGGAAGCTAATTTCTCTTTGTTCTTGTTTTATATGCCTCTTGTCATTTACTACCTTACTTTCAGGAGCAGCCTTTAGTGCCAGCTTTCCATGTTAACATGAGGACATCAGCAGTTCATTATGGGGCATAGTCTAATGCTGGCTGTAGAAACAGTAGCTGAACTGACCAGCAGGAATTCTGTGAGACAACTGTGCGCTGACATGCAGGTGGCAGTTTGTTCCTGCATGTCTCTGTACCAAAGATACTAGTGTGGAGCACAGTTCTGCTTTATCTGGCTTTCAGTGTCGTAATATTCTTTAAGCACGACAGCTGCATGCACTGACTAGGGAGCTGTTTTAGCATGAGTAGAGTTCAAACAAATGGGCAAATCTAGCCTTCCAGTGTATCAAATATAGTTAAATTCCCACCTTTCTCACTGGTAGCTGGGCACTGCAAACGTCTTGACTGAGTGAAAGACTTCATGAAGTGCTTTGTGATGCCTGGGAGGGATCAGACAGTATGTGAAGATTTTCTTGTCACCTTGATGTAACTTTCATCCCTGATTCACTTGAGCATTTAATTTAAGGAGAGAAAGGCAAATTCAGGTTGAAATATTTTGATGACACTTTACAAAAATAAAAACAAAATAATGCATAGGGGGTACAGTTAAAGGAGCTGCACTTTAGTCCTCTGTTTACTACTGTGTTTACTACTTACCTATAGAATCAGAAGGTGAAGAGTTTACAGAACATTATAAAAAGGTTTGTAGGCAACATCAAATAATCAGCAAGCAGAATCAATTGACTATTAAAAAGTGAGAGCTACTTCTAATCTGAGAATTCAGAAATAGGTTTATACTTTATTTTTTATGCCAATTCTGCTTTTTCTTGTTTATATACTGTATATAGTGAATGAAGGAATTCAGTAAGGTGGTCAAATAGAAAGCATGAATGCAAAATGCAGTAAAACGCAACAGACTTTTGTGCTGACCGGGTAAAGCAGAATCTCAGGTTTTATTTGACGTGGCTGTGCCTTGTGTAACAGTGGTCAAACAGCTAGACTCTGACCTGTCCTGGGCTTCAGCTTGGTGAATGGTGGGGACAATAAAGAAATGTTAAATCAGCAATACTTTTTCCCCTATGTCCATAAGGTGTGCACTCTTTTGCCCATAACACAATTTAGACTGTAACAGAATATTTTACCTTAATATGCAGTTTAGCTTTCAAATAGCAGTACATATGAAAGGGACAAAGATGATTAGTCCTTGTGCTTATATTTACTGCTTGGTTTTGCTTACTGAGCAGTTTTTCATTTTTTCATCATCTTGCCAGTCATTCCTTCATAACAGTCTTTAAACAAGAAAAAATTCCTTCCCTTCTCTTCCCTGCCCAGCATTCTGGTAAGTGTCCAATAAGCATGTTGTGCTATGAAGAGATCATTGAGACTATCATGCAGTGTCAATGGCCTGGATTTTGCTTTTTCTTATGTTAATCTTTTTTGGACACTACCACCATTTGATTGATAAGAGTTGTATTAATAAATTTGCTGTTAGTAAGAGGAAAATCAGGCCCACGGAGAGCTGAAATAAAGATTTAATTAGAAGAAATAAGCTACTGACTGTGCAGAATTACACAGGTGAAATACTCGAAAGCTTGCATATAAATTAAGAGTTAAACATCCTATTGACTTTTTCTCTGCAGACAAAACTGGGATTAATATCTTTATAGTTGTGTATGTCCCAGCAAAGGGATTAATAACAGGAGAGAATCTCAGAAAAGAGTCAAGAAATTTGTCTTTACTGCTTCATATAGTTTGGATGAAATTCTGCTTTTGGCATCATGGGATTCAGGAAAACTTCCTGAATATTGCTGGCTTTACCCAAGGATTGATGGAAGCAGTGCTAGGCTCAGAAGATAGAAGACAGACGTGTTCTTGCTTTCTTTAATAACTTTTTAAAAGCAGATTTCCCATGTAGTTTGAATACCAAAGGATTCTGATATTCTGCTTCGGTTTTAAAAGTGATTTAATTTTGGTATGTGATACCTGTTTACTTTAAGAACCTATTCAGAATTTGCGATCTTGCAGTTAGGAGAACAAATTGCTGATGAAGTTGAATTACTTTATGATTTTTTACAAGCTGATGTCTTCTTTCTTGAGCACTGAAGAAATCAGCAACTGGAAAATGTCATCCTCCCACGCTTCTCTGCCAGAAAAACTCTTCTGAATCTCTTCCCAAAGCCACATGCAAATGCTGTTCAGTGCAGGGTTAAGCCACAGCCCGTGTTCCATTTGCCATCATTTCTTCCACTTAGTTATATCTACCTGGTTCAGCAGCTTAACCCAAATTCCTTCTTAATGAAACCAGCCTTTTCCTAAGCTTTCAGCAGGCAGAAGAGTTGGTAACCCATTAGCAAACATGAAG